GCCCCCTACTGGGGATCGAGCCCGCAACCCAGGCTTGTGCCCTGACTGGGAATCGAACCCGGGACCTCTTGGTCCATGGGATGGCTCTCAATCCACTGAGCCATCACAGCTGGGCTAAACTTTTAATCTTTTAATCATAAGGTGTATGTTCCAGTTATTCACCAAGTCAACACCTATGACCCAGGCACTGTGCTAAGGGCTGATTAGTCAAATATAAACAGCCTGGTACGTTTTTGGGGGCTCAGCCTAGTGAAGAGGCATTTAAATAAATCATTTCGTTGGTGTGTTTGCTATCTTAGGGGTGCCAGTTGAGTTGGTAGGGAGTAAATGAGGGAAGAGGTATCCTTTCTCCAAGGAGATATACTTTTTAGAACAATGAGTAAAAGTTCACCACCTAAACGAGAAAAGACAGATGTTCCAAAGGGAAGCAACAGTAAACCTCAGGGGAAGCCTAGCATCCTCTGGGAGCAGCAAAACTTAAGGCAGGGGGTGCTTGGGGGAGGTGAGCAGAGAGGAAGCCAGGGAAGGTTGGCAGAGGCCAGATCATAAAGGATCTTATAAGTCATGCTAAAAATTTACCAGGAACTTACAAATAGGTGATTTTGGGCAATGGAGTAATTGATCAAATGACAAAGTTTACAATAAGTAGAAGTTGGTTTAACTGTTAATTAGGAAGGTAATTTCTCCTTACCCTCGGCATGATAACTTTAAATTGGCATATAAAATAGGTTAAGTAAATAAGGAATATCTCTTTATGCCACTTTCCTTATTCAGATCTTTGTTAGTATTTAGTATAAATGTATTACTCATTTTAATTAATACCACAGTATTGAACACTACTCATCACTACCCCATAAAGATGAACAAGACTCAGGATAATGGAAACTTTAGATGAGGAACAATGATTAGTTTCCTAGGTTAATAACTTTATTAAAATTGCACTATCCCTTTCTCACCCTCTATGCCATCTATAATAATAACTAAAATTATTTATCATATTTTTCCTACTTTTTTATAATAAGTTGGCGATTCACTTTCCTTCAGAAGAGATTCTCCTAGTAACAGCTTCTCCTGTTATTAAAGCAGTTACAAATTTCAAGCAGGTAAGAATCTTTGTGTAACTTTCTTACTATTAATTTTTTTTAAAATTGCAGTAACTTGCATAGTAGGTAGTGTAATTGTAGTATTTTAATTTTTTAAAATGACAAATGTTCTTTGGATGTTCATTTCAAAATTGTAGTTCAAAGTTTAGAATTATTCAGATTGAATACCAAAAGCACCCAGAATGATATTGAATTTCTAGTCTTCTCTTTTTTTCCTCCTATCATTTCCCTCCCACTCTGAATTACTTTTCAGAAAATTTAAAATAAGGTTCTTTGGGGGAAAGTTGCTATGAAATCTAAATATGAATGCAAATATATACGTGTGTATATTTTTATTATAAATATGTGTGTGCATGTGTATTTACAAATCAGAAGTGCTTCTGAGCCAAGTTTACACTTGTCGATAATAAATGTTGCAGATGTGTAATAAGCATCTCAGAATACTTGGTAGTTCCACAAATTTGTATTACACATGTCATAACATTATAATAGGAGTCTAAGATCATTTGGATCATAGTATGATAGAAGAGTGGTCTCCAAACATTTTTGATTCAGGAAACTAAGGCAGTCCTAACAGGCTTGTCCAAGAGTGGTAGGACTAGTATTTTGAGTTCTAGTGTTAAAATGTGAATCTAGCCTTCTTTCCACTGTATTTTGTGTAGTTCACCAACTCTCTTGTATGAACATAAATAATTATAGAAAAAAATGGAGCTATTTTTATTAGAATTCTTGAAAAAGTTTTTAACATATGTTCTTACCTCTTTGATCTAATACAGATTTCTAAAGTATTGGAAGAGTTTGATGTTGAAGAACAACCAAGTACCATGTTAGAAAACCGCTTTCCCAACATTAAAGTTATAGAATGTGGAGTAAAGCAACTGAAGAGTGAAGAACATGTAAGAATTTTTCCTTAATGACATTGTGCTGTTAAATCTTGGTGAGGTTTTTGCCTGACTTCCTTTGAACCCACCTATACCACCACCAAAGTCCCTAGTATGCAAATTTTGTGACATTGATTTCCATTACTAGAATAATTTACACTCTTTTGTGAGTTTATTGGGATTGTGTAATTAGTTTAGTTTTGCCTTTAAGTTTTATATTTCAAATTAGCATTAACATTTATATAGTGTCCACAGTTTTCTGGGCACTACATTAAGTGGTAGGCACCATAATGTAAGGAATGAGCAATAATATAAGGAATCTGTAAGCTCTCAGTGTCATAGGGAATATAGACATGCATACATATAATTATATGGACATGTGAAAAGCGCAGTCATTGAAATATTATCAAAGCTCTGCTAGTAGATATTTAGGAAGACTTCACAGATTGATAATGTTTGAGCTGTGTTTTAAAATATGAGTGAATTAATAGTTAGTGAATTAATAGATGCAAAAGGGCATTCCAGGAAGAGATTGCATCTTCAAAGACCAAAAGAAAGGAAAAGGGGCATGTGGAATCGTGAGGTGGTCGATGGGATTTGGGTGGGGCTAAGTAAAGGAGATTGGCAGACAGGGCCTGAGAAATAAGTAAATAAGATTGTGAAGAGCTTTTTATGTCAAGCTAAGAAATTGAGTTCATTTCCTAATCAATGGAAAAATAGTAAAGAGATTTTAAGCGGAGGCAGGGTTGATGAAATAGAAGTTCTTTTAAGAAGATATATAATCATTTCAATAAAGATTTTTAAAAAAGAAGAGGAAGATATATCTGACAGCAGTGTCAAGAATGAGTAAGTGGCTAGTAGCCAGCAACCAAATTTGAAGGGGTTAGCAATAGTCCAAAATGATACAAGGCCAAAACCAAGGCAGTGTGAGGAATAAGGCAGTCTCAGAAAAGGATGTTATCAGGTGATTAACAATATCCTCAAATGAGCTTTAGGCAAGATGTAAAGTAGAGTTTGTATTTGTTTCTCAAAAGCAGCTCTAATTTATGAATTCTCCCTTAGGGATAAAACACATACACCACATTTGACAGGAAAAAGAAATTAAGAAAAAGTACTGAGTTTTATGAGAAAAGAATGAAAAATCTGAATCCAAAAACCAGAGTAAGTTTCTAATACTTATAGTGGTAGTACTTACTCATTGTAACAGCCACGTGAATTAATTTGCAAATTGAAGTAGGTTTAAAAGTATACTAATGAGTTGTGAGGAAATTTTTATATTAGGACATTTGAATGGATCAGAGCGCTACCCATTACCATTTGAAAACTATCCCGCATGAAGTATACTAGCATGTCTGCATTCTCTTATCCTTTATATTCTTTAGTGAATTAGAAAAATTCTAATTTTTCCAAAAATTTAACAGTAGCTAATAAAGAGCTTTTGTGTTTGTTTTCGTAGTAACTAAATGAAAATTTATTTTTTAAATTTGGTCAATGCCTATAACTAATTTGTTTGTCATAGAAAATTCTAACCAGATTATATGAAGGAAAACTTGCATGAAATGTCTGTATGGATTACACTTTGGGTTATTGATTTTATGTATTTGTTATGCAGCTAAAGAGTTAACATGGGTGACAAATGTCTCAATGGGTAATAAGTGCTATGTTATGATTTGCCAAGTTTTATAATTCAAACACATGGCACAAAAGTTAACCCCTAAACCATTCTAACAAAGTCCAGCATATCTCATGTATATCTGCTTTCTAAATGCTGCTGCTAACCTGTAGATTTTCTTCAATATTAAGAAACAGAAACAGTGGATCTCTAATATGTTTTTTAGACTCATTGAGGTTATTAAAATCAATATAAATATATTTAAAGCCACTACATGCTGGATTTAAGTTTAACATGTTTGTCACTTAGGTGAAAATATAATCCCCAAAGAGTATATAGTTTGCTAGGAGAAAGGCTAGTTTTCATCAGGCTCACAAAATAATTCATGTCCCTAAAATGATTAAGAATCACTGAATGTATTCTTATGCTTACTTAGCTTTGTATTTACTGGGACAAAATATTGATTGCCACCAAGAAGCAAGCTTAATATACTTCTTGCTTTTGTGTTTTTGAATGTTTAAAGTGAAATTGTACCCACATATAACTGCTTCTTGTCCCTTCATTGCTCTATGTTTTTACAGTGCATTTTAACAGAAGATGGCAGTCAGCACATATATAAGAAACTCTGTCTGTGTGCTGGAGCTAAACCAAAGTTGATATGTGAAGGAAATCCTTATGTATTAGGAATTCGTGATACAGATAGTGCTCAGGTAATACTTTGGGGTTGGGTCCTGGGGAATAACACAAAGATTTTTTCTTAGACATCTTTTGCTACATTTGAATGAAAGTGTTTCACTTATAATGCTAATTCCTAAACTGTAGGAGCAGAAGGGAGGTTTTTGTTTTGTGGCCCATAAACCAGAAAGTAGCTATAAGGTTCTATATTGTCAATTTTAATTTGTTTTTAGTTGATAATTTATCTTGTTTTTTATTCATGCTGATGTTCTGTGTTCTTTCTGCTATATGATGTCCCAAATTTAATGACTCTGCTGAAGGGTACAGCTTATATTATGCACACACTTATTATTGTGATTGGGAATATATGATTTGTGACCTAAATAATATAATGATCTTTTCCCCAAAAGAATAAAGCATATCAAAACTTACAGAACTTACTCTTCAGCAAAGAAATTAATAGTCAGAAGATCTTTGTGGTACAGAATCATGACAGACCCTAAAACTGGAAAAGTCACTCGGTTTATTGTTCTACTCAAGTGATAACTATCCCAGTAAGGTGAAACTCTATTGTGGAACCTTATACAACTTCTTTTGATAACTTACTTCAGGGTTTGTTGGCCTTATTGCCAAGAAGTTCTTCCTGATTTCAAATCACAATACTCTGTCTTCAAGTTCCTTGTTGTTCTGTCCCATGAGGTGATCATTTTACACTTACGTAACAATACTTTGTGTCCTTGAAAATTGATAGCTTACTTTCAGGCTATTCTTAATTAAATAATTAGGAATTTAGAGAAAACTAGAACTTGGTTATCTTTTGGTAAACCTTTTAGGATTCATATTACCAAAGATTGCATTCATAACTGTATTCCAGCGAAGCCCTCAACATACAAAAACTCATTGAATCCTCATGATAATTCTGTGTGACAGTCATTACTGCCACTCTACAAATAGGTCATTGAAATAGAAAGACTAAGTAATTTATCATTACTAGTTATTAAACTATCAGAAGTACAGTTTAAACTCATGACATTCATCTCCATGTCCAGTACTCTACAGATCTTTCTTAAATTATCTACTCCCTCAATAAAGGACAAACTAAAATTAACTTAAGGTGTTTTATTGTTGTAGAAATTTCAAGAAGTCAATTTCAGTGGTTATTTATTGAATATTACAATAAGTTTGGGGTCAATTTAAGAGAAATGGTAACTTGATATAGTAGGCAAAGGAATTGAGGTATTCAGACATCATCCTGAAGCAGTGGTACTATTCTGTACTTTTGAACGTCTCCTAAGAGTGACCCACTGGCTTTTCTCCAAGTACATTGTGGTTTTTTTAGGGAGGGTGGTGGTAGTAATTAGCTGCCTTATAATGGTAATAACATTTTTTAAAATAAATGGTAGACATTATTATGTGTCTGCTACTCCTAACAGCCTTATCTACATCTTTTTACTTAATGCTTACAGAAACCTTGAGATTTAGTCACTTCTTTTTTTTTTTAATATTTTTATTGATTTCAGAGAGGAAGGGAGAGGGAGAGAGAGATAGAAACATCAATGATGAGAGAGAATCATTGATTGGCTGCCTCTTGCATTACCCCCACTGGGGATTGAGCCGGCAGCCCAGGCATGTGCCCTTGATCGGATTTGAACTTGGGACCCTTCAGTCCGAAGGCCGACGCTCTATCCACTGAGCAAAACCAGCTAGGGCGAGATTTAGTCACTTCTTAATTCCATTTATAGTTGAATGTGAGGTACAAGAGGATAAACAACTTGCCCATCATTCCCAGTTAGTAAACTGCTAGAACCAGTTCCTTTACCGTTTGTGCTCTTAACCACTTTGCTGCTGTGGCTCTCATCCTGCAAGTTTTAAGTGCTGAATGACTGCAGACAGTATCAACTGAGGAACTAGAAGAGGAAGAATCCTGTCTAGGATGTAGATCAATGTTATGTTAGTAAATTGATTTTGTCAAATAGTTGAGAATTTAGTAAACTAAGACAGGGCCTCCTG